TTAGAACCCGATATGGTGCATAGGGCTGGATGCTTTTGAGTCCCATTAACAGAAAATGCGGGCGGACTGCTGGCATATATATGACTTCTTCGACAGGCAACCATCCAAACACCCACTGTATCTGGCTGGCATTGAGGTTTCGAAATAATAATGTCCAGGCCATGACTCCTTCAGGTAGACTAGACCCTTTGATTCTCGTATAAAATTCTCTTATACAAGTTTTCTCAACCGAACCATAACTCAATAGCTGAGAGCGTGGGCACAAATGCTCAGTCATCCACATTTGTAACAACAAGTTACATCCCTCAAAAAAATTTCCCCCAGCTTTGCACGCAGTGAGAGCCCGGAAGATGTAAGCCACGATCATAGGTGCTAAAGTGCTTTTCCCCATGGTTTGCAAGGTACTGACGACCCCTGCTACTTTCAAATCCATATTACCGTCTTTCCTTGGGAATATTATGAGTCCCAAGAAAGCTATCATAAAAGCCACCCGTCTGTGTTCCTCCCATTTTTGTCGGTTACTTCTACTGCATAGCTTAAAGTCTGGATTGTTGAACCCCCCCACATGGCCATATCTATCATATATGAAGCGGAAACTGCAGAAACCCTTTGCAAAATCAGGATGATGAACTGTTCGGGGTATTTTCAAGGAATCCAAGAACCGGTGTATTGTAATGGCCCTAGGAGCAATCAAGTATTTAAACCTCAATGGAGCTTGATCACTTCCAATATACCCCGCTATTTCTTCCAATGTCGGGGTGAGCTCAAAGTCTGAGAAATGAAATACATTATGTGCCGAATCCCAATGGGCGACCAATGCCCTGATAATATCCCCCCGAGGCTGAACGTTTAATAAATCCGGAAGGTCTTTCAAATATTTTTTCACTTCGTCTTGCCCTTCTTTGCCTAAATCATTCCACCATAATTGCAGCTCAAAAGGGATTTTGGTCATTATTGAAAAGGGCTCATTTATCATCGTGCTCATCCTGCACATTTATTAAAGCGTTTAAGCAAAAAGAAAACTCTTATTCGACTCAAAAAAAAACTACCTATATTTTCGACTCAAAATTACCTATATATTTTCAAGCGAAGAACTTGACTCTCAAACATGGCCCTTCAGCATTTTGGGAACCAAGATTTTAAGGCTATTCATGACAAGACGGCTCTACTTAGCTTATTCGCAATTCTTACTTCTCCCTTTTTTTTATTTAAGATAAAAATACCCAGTATTGAAACACGGCCTTTCAACGCCTCGAGGACGAAAACTTAAGGCTGTGCGGATTGAAAAAAACATGACCACAGGTGGCTATCTATGCAAGGTCAACCTTCCGGCGTTCTGTTTGGGAACATTTGGCTATTTTTGACAAAACGGCATCACCTAGTTTATTTATGACAAAATTAAAATTTTGATATTTTTTGTTATTTTTGCAAAGGGGAGGTTGGACCCGATGAGGGTTGCCTACGTATCTCATGCTCTGGGAGAATCAAACCATGCGTAGTTCGGGTAAATTGACCGAACTATCTTAAAACATGACTCTTTTCCATTTTTGTTTTTAGCATAAGCGAATAACAACTATTTTAAAAACAAAACTTTTTTTTTTTCAACAAATAAAACAACCTATTTTTCCAAGCTAAAAATAACAGACTCTTTTTCTTTCATTTTTCAACAAAATAATGAAACAACTTATGTTTTTCGAACTAAAACAAAGACTCTTTTTCTATAAATATTTTCCCCTTTTTCATTTTCTCAAAAATTTCGGCAGAGTTTCGCCAGTAATTGGTCATTGATTTTTATTTCTAAAATAATCAATTAACTCCCTAACTGATATTTTTTTTCCCACTCTTTTCTTTTTTTTTTTCAATTTTCCAATATTCCCGAGATTCAGAAACCAGTCAACATGCAGGTTCGAAACAAATATATGCACAGAGCAAGTAGGATGCATCAGGATGGTCTTTTCATTTCAGGTTGCTAGTCCTAGACGGACTCAACCCCTGTGTTGAGTCCCCTAAGTCAAATGCAACGTGATGCAAATAAGCGTTCCTACTAGGGATCCGGCATGAAGTCACGTTACTCTATGTTCAAAACTTG